GGAACATATCCGTGGATCCGTTCGGCTGGCTCCCGCTGATGAGGGAGCCCGGCTTGCTGCCCGCCGTCGTTGCGCTGCTGGACGACCCCAGCCCCTTCATGGTGGAGGCCGCCGGCTCGATATTGGCAAACCTCTCCGGGGGCAGCAACAGTGCGCTTATCGAGGTCAATGGCGCGGACATGTGCGGCTCGCTGGCGCGCGCGCTGGCGCGCTGCCTCGAGCGGCTATCGCTGGTCGGCGGGTTCGGCGGGCGGGGGGACGCTGGGTCAGATGATGACCAGACGTGGCAGCGGTTCCTGTGGCAGGCCTTGAGCCTCTCGAGGGTGATCGCCCAGGTGGGCCGGGCCTGAGCAATCAGGGGGAGCCTGGCTCAGCGGCACACGGTTGGCTTAGGCGCTGGGGTGCACCCACCGCCGCCCCCTGGCCGCGCGCAACCCGCACCCCATCCGGCGCTGCCGCTCGCGACGCCACGCCGTGTGGGAACTTGTGGCGGCCTTGAACAATCGATCTGTTTGTGCCCCGCTGTCGCCCTGTACTCGCGCCCCCTCCTCCCTCAGGACCCGCAAGGGGGCCAGGGCTTGGGAGCCGTCTGCCCGTCCCTGCCCGTCCTGCTCAGGCGCCACGTGACGCACGTCCAGGAGCCCGGCGGCCACCCGCCCGGCAAGGGCCCCCTCGCTGCCGACGCGCGCACGAAGTTCCACGGTCTCATCGCGCACAGCGACGTCGCTGCTGCCGCTGCGGCGGCTGACCCCCTCGCAGCGCTGTTCTCTGTGTTGAATGGGGACTGCGACGAGCGGGGCGTGCACCCCATGTGCCGCGTGCTGGGCGAGATGGCCCCTGGTCAGGCGCGAGACACTCTCATCCAGCGGCAGGCAGACTGCTTCTTCGCGCTCTCCTCCATACTCGCGCACGGCGGTGTCGTGGGTGCGGGAGTGCTCGAAAGGGCGATGGGCGCGGCGGCCTCGGTGTGGGCCATGGTGTTGTCGCGCAGCGGTCAGCACAACGCCGCGCTCTGGCAGCATGGCGGCCTCGTGCTGGCAGTCTGCCGCCTGGCACGCCTGGCTGCCTTGCCTCGCGAAGCCGTCGGCGGCGACGGCCCCGCGCGCGTCGCGGAGCGCGCCGTCTGGGCGCTGGCGGAGTGCGTCCCCACGCTGCCCGCGTTGGATGAGGGCGCGTTCGACGCGGGCGGGCGGCTTGTCGCGGCCGCGCGCGCCGGCGGCGACCCCTCCAGCCTGCTGCGGCAGCCGCTGGACCAGTGGCTGTACCCTGAGCTGCTCAGCACCGCGCTGGCATGCCTGCAGCCGCCGGCGCCCGAGCTTGCGAACCTCGGGTGCTCGACCGACGACGTGCGCCGCCGCGCAGCAGAGGGGCGCGTGCGCCTGCAGGGCGCTGCTGCAGAGCTGCTCACCGCCTGCGCGATACGCGGGCCCGAGTACGCGCGCGCCGTCCAGGCCGCCGTGGCGATTGTCCCCTCGGGCGGCGACGCTGCAGTCGCGGATGCCCTCCGGCGCCTCAGGGACGCGTCAGGTGCGGCTCGTCACATGCGGTACTGCAGGAGCGATAGTATCCGCTGCTGCTGCGCCGACTTGCCGGTGTCGCCCCCTTTCCCCACAAACGCATTTACAGGGCAAATCCGACCGCCCTGCCCTGTCTGCCTCTTCATCCACCTGCAGGCACCCCGACAGGCCGTTCGGCCCCTTTGCCTCTTCTCGTCCCCTGCCCCGGCGTCCCCGGCGCGTGCTGGTCTGCAGCTGCCCCAGCAGCAGGGATGACGTGCATCCACGACCCCGCCCACCAGATGCTGGCCGCCTTCATCATCACCGCGCTGCAGGACCCGCACGGCCCGCGCCTCGACCTAAACAGCCCGCTGCCGCCGCGCGACGCGCTCGCCATGTGCGACGAGCTGCGGGCCGCGCTGCTGCGTGTCGGCGGCTGCGGGCATATCAGCGCGCTGGCGCTCCTGGCGCTGGGGATTGAGGAGGCGTGGCGCTGCAAGGCGCTGTGCAGGATGAAGATGCAGGCGGGGCGCGCGAACAGCAGCGGCGGCGACGGCGGCGATGGCAGCGACGACGTGAGCGGGGGCGCAACCGCGTGCCCCAGCGCCGTCTACTCGCGCGCCCACGTGCTGCTGGAGGGGCTCAACTCAGACCTGCGCACAGCCCTGCAGGCGCGCGAAAACTTCCAGACATTGGTCGGCGTTGTCAGCAGGCCACGGGGAGGTAGACCGGGCAGCGGCGCGAGCGCCCTTGCCGCCACGCACGCTGCCGTGCGAGTCGCAGTGGGTGGGCCCTTGGACATCGGCCGCCGCGACTGCTTGCTGCACGTCAGCCCGTTCGGCATGACCCCCGCCAGCGCCGCAGGAGCCGCAGAAACCGCACGGTTGCGGGGGCTGCTAGAGGCACCGCGCGTGCCGGCGGCCGCGCTGGAAGCTTCCAAGGAGCTGCTCGCCGCGTCAGCGACGCGCGCAGAGGCAGAGTCTGGGGACAGGTATGACGCGCTCTTGTGTGACGGGGATGCCGCGACCGCGGGCGCGGTTTGGGCGACGCTAGAGGGTCTCCGTGCCCTTCGCCTGGGGGGGCAGCAGGAGGGGCAGGTCGCGCCGCGGGGCGAGCAAAGGCAAGTGCGGCAGCAGCAGCAGCAGCAGGAGGAGGAGAAGGAGCAGGGAGAGCTGGCAGGGCGGCAGCAGCGGGAGAAACAGGGAGATTCGGCAGGGTGGCAGCAGCAGCAGCAGCATGAGCTGCTCGAGCCACATGACCACAAGTGTGGCTTGGCGGAAGCCCAGGCAGCATCAGCAAGCTCAGCAGCACAAAATCCAGCAGGAGCAGCAGCAGCAGCACCAGGCGCAGGAGCAGCGGCAAACGCAGCAGTGGCAGCTGGTGGTGCAGCAGCAGCAGCAGCAGCAGCAGCAGCAGCAGCAGCAGCAGGTGGTGCAGAAGCAGCCGGCGTATGTGCAGGAGCAGCAGCAGGTGCAGGAGGAGTATCGACATCGGCCTCCCTGACGCAGGCACCGATCGCAGCAGCAGCTGGCGCGGCGGCCGTGCCAACCCCAGCGGGCCATGCGAATGAAGGCCGGCAGCGGCGTGGCTGTGCGGCCTGCGGCAGGACCAAGGCGGAGGGCGCGGCGCTGCGGCGCTGCGCGGGGTGCGGCAGCTCGACGGGCGTGCGGTACTGCAGCCAGCGCTGCTGCCGCGACCACTGGTGCAAGATGGGCCACCGCGCAGAGTGCGAGGCGGCGCAGGCGGCGAAGCGGCTGATGGCGCCGTGTGGGGGCGCCGGCCGCTGCAGCGGCGGCGACAACAGCAGGGGCGTGATCGATGAGTAACTGGTGCCCAGGCCCCCTCACGCACTGTCAATGTTGGCAAGTGGCAGCCCATTTGCGGCGCGGCAGCGGCGCAAATAGCAGGTGATCTCAGATCGGGACGCTCTTCGTCAAGCGTGTAGGGGTGGATAAATGGAGTGGGGTGACAGGCAGCTAAGTTGCTGATGTGGTATCGACGATGTGTCGCACGACCTGGTGCATTTCCCCTAGCGTCGACAGCCGCTGTCCTGGCGGGCAACACTCACCAATGACTGCAAAAGCAACCCACGTCAGTTGAGTGCAGGTCTACAAGTGCTAAGACTACTCGCCAGCTGCAAGGATTAGGCCCCTCCACACAGAATAGACTGCGTGGCAGACCCTACATTTGATGTCATATGTATGTTGGAGCCATGACTAATTCGCTGTCACGCAGGTGGCTCACTTGCCCTGCTGTTGTCCCCTTCATCTCGATGAGAATGGTCTCTACAGGCGAATCAGTGTTGAGACATCCCACGCGATGCCGGGTGGCTGTCGCCACCGCGCATTTCAAGCTGATCTAGACTTACTTAGCCACCAAACCTGAAATATGAGTCTAAAGTGTGGACAAAACCTATCGTGGATGGCGCGTGTCAGGTGCACTCCTGGGTCGATTGAGCGCGCCGGCAGAGGCTCCTTCAGAGCGAGAGGGAGTCGCCAGCAGTTGCGCTGCGCTACGTGCAGGCATCCTTGCAGACACGCACACAAGCGCAATCACAAGCACCGCATGCTCTGGGGCCTTCCTTCCCCCGTAGCAGCTTGTACCCGAACCGAGCCGTATTGGGAGCAGAGCGGCTTACGGCACCAAGCGAAGGCGCGGGCGACGCCCGCGTTGGGTGCTGTGCCGCTGCCTCTCGACACTTCGGCCACCTCGCCCATGCGGTTCTTCCCGTGTTGCTATCGCCACAGGGAAGCCGTAGAAGCGGCGGGCGGCGGCGGTGGCGGGGGGCCGAAGATGCCGGAGGCTTTGTTGCTGGAGTGGGCAGTTAATCGGGCGATTGAGGTGAGGGGGCAGGGGCGACGCTCCTCCAGGGCTATCCGGCTGCCCACGTGGCGTCCGTGACGGTTCCCTGGTCAACGTAGCGATTGCAAGAGCTTGGAAGCACTGCCACGTGCTACCTGGGACTGCGGGCCGCGCATGGCGCACCTGGAAAGAGCGCGCTCGCCACACTCAGTCACGGGCATGTTGCGTAAGCCTTGTCGTATTCGCTCCCATTTCTACACGCATGCACGCGCGCGTCCGCACACACACACACACACACACACACACACACACACACACACACACACACACACACACACGCGCGCGCACGCGCGCACCGCAGGTCTTGCGCTGGTGCCACCCACTGGGCCAGGTGCTGGACCGCGCAGAGGGCGCGCTGTGGCAAGTGCGCAACGCTGCAGATGCAGCCCCCCGCGTGCTGCTGCAGCCCACCACGCTGAGCGAGCTGGTGCCCCTCCTCAAGCATCTGGTGGGTATCACAGCGCCGTCGAGAGGCCCTCGGTTTGGCTTGGACGGCCGCGGCTGCACGCCTGCTTGAGCTGCTGCTGTACTTGCAGCAGCAGACACCCGGCCGCGCCCTGGCACTGCCACTGCTCGCGCTGGGCTGAACCTGCCAGGCTGAAGCTGCTTGTCCGTTAATACTTTGGTCTTCCTTCAATCCCGGCCGCTCCACGTATGACCGTCATCCATCAACATGGTACCCCGCTCCTTGCTCCTTTGTGCTCCGCGAATCGCCGGCATCGCGCTGCCAGCCTACGTCCCGGGCGGCTCTCAAGGTGCTCCTGCACCTGACCTCTGCCAAGGCCGCCCCCCGCTGTTGCCAGGTGGGCTCCTGCATCCAGCCACCAGGCGTTGCGCCCGTCACGGCCGTGTACTCATCGCCCCAAGCTCGGCCTGCTGGGGGCCCGGCGTTCCCCGCGGACACCACTGTGCGCCGCCTTCATTCGCCCATTTCTGCCCCCAGATTGTTCAGGACCGCGAGCTGCTGGCGGCGGTGGTGGCGCTGCTGGGCAACCCCAACGCGCTCATAGCAGAGGACGCGATGGTCCTGCTGTCAAACATCACGTGAGCGCCCGGGTGCAGCCTGCGTGGCGCTGCCCTGCGCCGATGGCATGCGTTCGTGTTTGCCAGCGTGGTGCGCGGCCCCTGGTCGAGCGCTGCCACAAGTTTGTCGCGAGTTTGCCCCGAAGCCTGCATGCTTCGCCACCGCGGAGGCCGCCATTCATGTGTCGAACGTGCAGCCATGGCAGTCGCGCTGCCTGCGAGCACCCTGCTGCTTGTATGGTTGAGGGCCCCGGGGGATGCTGACCGGCGGTCCCCGCCGCTTGACCGCCCTGTGCCCAACGGGCACGTGTGCTGACCAGCGGGCTCCACCATCCGCAGGTGGGACGTAAAGGGCAGCGCAATGCTGGTGGTGAAGGAACCTGGGGCGCTCACGGCGGTCACGCGCCACATCGCGGCCGCCGTGCCGCACGCCGAGCGCGGGTGCGGGGCTTTTCGGGGCGCGTGGTGCTCGGCTGCTGCTCATGTTTTGGCAGCGTGCGTTGTTGATTCAAACATAGGACTCTCAACCTGCCAGCACAACTGAGCTGCGTGCGGTCAAAACAGACGCCTCATATCCCTAACACCGACCACACCTGGCCATGCGCAATCCCCAATGTATCCCTGCACAGCATCAGCGGCGGCAGCGGAAGCCATGGCGCTGGCGGCAGCGGCGGCGCCGGCAGCGCCGGCGGGGCTGCCGGCGAGGCGATGACTTCAGAGGCGATTAAGCTGGTCTGGTGAGGACCGTGAAAGCGCTGCAGAATGACCTGTGATTCCTGTGCCGCGCTCTAGCCGCCAACCGCTCAAGCGCACGCTGCAGACGCTGCATCGCGCCGCGAGCTTTCAAATACCGCAACCCTTGCCGCTGCGCTCTGCGACAGCCCAGCACGCTGGCACCGCCGGCACGCCCTTGGAGCCCGCGCGCGCCTCAGCGTGCTGGTGACGCCCGCCGCCGCGCCGACCGGTGCCCCCGCCGCGATCCTCGACCGCAGGAACATATCCGTGGATCCGTCATGCTGGCGCTCGCTGCTGCAGGAGCCCGGCTTGGTGCCCGCCGTCGCCGCGCTGCTGGACCACCCACACCCCACCATCCTGGAGGCCGCTGCCACAGCACTGGCGAACCTGTCGTTGGGCCACGCGAGCACGCTGATCGAGATTGGCGGCGCAGACATGTGCGGCGCCCTTGGGCGCGCGCTGGCGCGCTGCCTTCAGCGGAATGAGGCGGCCGGCGGGCGCGGCGGGCGGGGGGAGACTGGATCAGATGCCGAGGCGTGGCGGCTGTTTCTGGTGCAAGCCGTCAAGCTGGCAAGGACGTTCGCCCAGGTGGGGAACGCCGGCTGGGGCCTCCACAATCAGCACAGCCCTGCTTGGCTGCCCCGACCCGCAGATCGCCGCCCTCGGGCCGCGCGTGCCCCGCACCCGCCGCAACCTTTGACGACCTTCCGCGGTGAGGAGCGTGCGGCGACCCTCGACGACCATCCGTCTCTGCTCCGCTTTCGCCCCGCGCTCGTGGCCCCCCAGGACCCACAAGCCGGGCAGGACTTGGGAGCCGCCTGCCCAGCACTGCCTGTCCTTCTCAGACGCCACCTGACGCACGCCAAGGAGCCCGGCGCCCACCTGTCCGGCGAGGGCCCCCTTGCAGCGGATGCGCGCAAAGCGTTCCACGGCCTCGTCGCACACAGCGCAACCGTGGCGGCTGCCGCGGCGGCCGACCCAGATGCGGCGCTGTTCTCTGTGTTGGACGGGCACAGGAACGAGCGGGGGGTGCATCCCCTGTGCTGCATGCTGAGTCAGATGGCCCCTGGCCTGGCGCGCGACACGCTGGTTCAATGGCAGGCAGACTGCTTCACCGAGGCCTGCCTTGAACTTGCACGCGGCGGCGTCGTGGGCGCGGGCGTGCTCGGAAAGGCGGTGGACGCGCTTTCCGAGGTGCTGGAAATGGCGTCACCACCCGGCGGCGGGCGCAGCGCCGCGCCCTGGCAGCACGGAGGCCTCGTCCTGGCGGTCTGCCGTTTTGTGCGCCTCTGCACGATACCTCGAGTGTACATCGGCGGCGGTAGCGGGTCTGCCAGGGTCGGCGGCGGCCCCGCGCTTGTCGCGGCGCAGGTCATCAGGGTGCTGTTTGAGTGCGTTCCCGTGCTGCCCGCGTTGGACGACGCCGCTTTCACTGCGGGCATGCGCCTCGTCGCGGCGGCGCGCGCCGGCGGCGACCCCTCCAGCCTGCTGCGGTCGCCGCTGGGTCAGTGGCTGTACCCTGAACTGCTGAGCACGGCACTGGCATGCCTGCAGCGGCCAGCGCCAGAACATGCCGCCCTCTGGCTGTTGCCGGACGGCACGCGCCGCCACGCGGCGCAGGGGTGCGTGGAGCTACAGCACGCCGCTGCAGGGCTGCTCAGCGCCTGCGCGATGCGCGGGCCTGAGTATGCGCGCGCCGTCCAGGCCGCTGTGACGCTCGTCCCCTCAGGCGGTGATGCTGCCGTCGCGAAAGCCCTCCGGCACATCAAAGACGCCTCAGGTGCGGCTCAGCGCGCACCGTACTCGCGGTGGCAGCCGCCGCTCGCGTCCCGGCGCTGCTAGCGCGCCCCCCCCCCCCC